CCTGAATAAAACAAGGTATAATTCACCTGGATAGACTAAAACCCGGTATACACGTTTTTTTCCAGTAAAGCTCAGATTTTTTTTCGTTCAACCTGCGGGCTGAATGAGAAAATAGAACAGATTGCTTAGGAGCGTTGATTAACAAAGACCCCACTGTTTCCTTTGTATACCGCTGGCCGCTGTCAGAATAGCCAAACGGATTGGCTGCTAGCTCTGTTCAGCTAGGAATTTTCTGACTTGCTCCTTCGATCTTAAGGGATGCCGGGGAGAAGGGTTTTGATAGTGGCACCCATGCAACAAATCTCAGCTGTTCATCAAGAACTGGCCACAATTCGAAGCATGTACAGGTGAAACTCGAATAATTAGAATATCATGCAAAAGTAATTGCAGTATGGATTCCCCCCTCCCCGCTAGCGCTGACTGTCGGAACGGACGGGGGTGGGGGCGGGTACAGCTGGCTCTGCCTCTAGATAGGCAGAGCCAGCTGTCACTCACTCAGCTGGGCGGATCCAGACATAATTGTTGGGATCTGCTTCAGCTGCGTCGTCTCAGTATACCGCGAGCAGTAGCTCGTGGTAAACTGTGGCGTCTCAGTATACCGCGAGCTGTAGCTCACGGTATACGGAGCTTAGGGTGACGGGAGGACGCGATTTTGTGTAAACTTCCAAAACTGGGTTAAGGTGCTAAAGTGACGTTAAAGTCAAAACATTTTTTCCCTCCCCCCAATGTTAATGTCAGCACTTACCTTAAATTATGTCTCATAATCCGATCTTCCTCTTCTTTCTTGTCCTTTTCAGCTTTCTCTCCAGCGCTGTGGCGGGTCTCCGATCCAGCGCTGACTCCTCTGTCCTTGATGGCACTTCCAATCCAACGGTGTCTGCATGCGGGTGCACGCATCCATAGACTTACCTTGCGTCTCTCCTCGTCTCCCGGCCGAAAATTCGAACTGCTTTTATCATGCGCCCGCCCTAAGATGCTTTGCGGTCGCCCAAGCAGTTTCGGATTCTCGGACGGGAGCATGCGGCAAAGACAGGGTAAGTTTAAACCGCTGTCAAAGCTGTTTTTTTTAAAACAAAAACGGAGGGTTTAGAAACCCTTTAAGGTTTGTATTACCTTCATCATTAAAAGGTTAAATATACCATGGAACGTAAAACAACAACTGTTAATCTTCCAGAAATACGGTCAGCTGATCTTCCTGCATCTCACGGTTATCAGTTACAATTGTTCTAAAGACTACAGGACTCTGCCCATCTACATATGGTGGGTAGAAGAGGACGGGGGGATTTCCAAGAAGTCCTTGTCATGGTGCAGCCAAAAAAATATTATATTTTATTGGCTTCTTGTAGAACATTCTAAAAGTTAATTCAGTTCTTTCAATGAACACCATCTACAAGATAATTAACAATTTACATAAACTTGTTAGCTGCAGAGTTTCAATTGAAGCAAATGTTGATTTGTTGTGCTTCCCCAGTAGGGGACCACAGAGCAGTGAATGATTTTCCTGGAATTTGCAGACAAAGTGTCTCCAGGTTGGGGTATCACCAAAATGTAAATAGTGTCACTTCACCTTTGTGTGTATTTCAATGTTTGAAATGTCTAAAAAAGGTTGTATCTCATAATTCCTGCCCCATGCAACATATGATCGTAGAACCTTCAGGGAAAGAGTGGTGGCACAAAGACAAGCTGTCTGACACTAAGCATGATGGTTTAGGGTACAGCATTGAGGAGTTCTGATATTTGGAACTCTTTATTGTATTTCTGGTTCTGTTACCCGTAGAGTGCAGGTGTTTAGACAGTAGCTGGGTCCAGAACCATCACTTTCACCCAGGTGGTGATATGCAATCTCTAGCCCCTGCCATCCGATTGGCTGGTCTAAGGGGGTAGAAACTGGTTTTTATCTTCAATGTATAATAATGGAGATCTGAAACCAAGAAATTGTCACATTCAAGGGGTCCATTGACATTGGGTTGTGTCCACCTTTTTCCATCCAACCCCAGAAGCAGGATTAAGCATAATCTCTGTACATGTATCCTTTTTATTTTAATCCTGCTTGCTTCTATGTGCTGTTTGTCTCATTTGGTAACTTTTTTGTAACTATATTTTTCTATGCACTGCCTGTCTGGGCAGTGGAAGAAGTGGGTATGTCAAGGTTCTAGCTGAGAGCATAGCTTGGGGACTCTTAGTGGGCGTGAGGAAACCACTGAGGCTGCCACACAACCATTAGAGTACACTAGATTATACGCAAGATTTACATCTGCCTATGTGTGTGTGTCCAGCCTGCTTGAGCTGGGTGAGTCTCCCTCCAGTGATGACCAGCAGTAGTGCAGGAGACTGTGAGTGGAGGTTCTAAATCCAGAGATAATCGTGCCTGGTTTATCTAACCTGTAACTACTAGTGAGAGCAGTTTGTGTGGTCTGCGAAGCCTGTGTGCCATTCTGCTTGAGGGCAGAGGGTACAGACTAGGAGTGTCTTGGAAAAGGTTTCCCACAAGCCTGTAAATTGTGGGTGGTTGTAGCTTACATCAATTTATTTTTGTATGCGTGTTGTGTTATATAACCGTACTATTACGCCTGTGGACTGGGAGGCACTCTGGGTGTTCAGCGTGCTGGAAGATCTCCAAGGGTGAGCGCAAGGATGGCGATGGCCCGTGCAGTTGTCCGGCTCTTCCCACGTCCCCGTACCTACTCAGCGCCCTTAGATGTTGGCTTGTGGTCTGCTTGCCTATGTTCTGGTGACTGAAGCTGGCCTCTAAGAATTTATTTTTATTATTACATGGAGGTGGATCTTCTAGACAGCAACAGTCCATGTACCCATTGCACTCCTGACCGCTTATCCATAGTAAAAATGGTTGGGTGCATCGGCAGTTGACGGATGGCTACCGTCCAGTAATATAGAAAAGTATGGACACCGGCACTCCAAAGATAGAAGTACGTCTATTTATTGACACACATGCAAAACATGTTTTGCACGTCCGTCAATAAATAGACATACTTCTATCTTTGGAGTGCCGGTGTCCATACTTTTCTTCTAGACATCAGGCCCTCACATTTAAATAGAAGGTCAGCTTTAATGCTGAAACTGTATTCCTGTTCTAGTTGCTCATAATACAGACACTACAATTCCACATGCATACCTTCAACATAAGAAAAAGGGATGGCCTTCAGCACAAATTGGTTGATCCAGATGGTTGTACAGCAGGCTACAGGCCTGAAAAAGTGACCCCCTTCATGTATCCTGAGTTCTGCTGTCTCTCATGCAGGCCTGGGACAGGCATGGTGTTGGCGGGTTGAGGGAGATGGGCACACACCTACTGATCTCATATCTGGCACGTTAACCCAAACACACACCTACTGATCTCATATCTGGTAAGTTAACCCAAAAGCCATGAAGATTTTGTTACTTCTGGTTTCAGGCTATCATTCCTTCAGCTATAGGGTTTCCAGCCAACCGGGATTCACCCAGACAGTTCGGCTTTTGAGTCTTGTGTCCGGCTTTTGAGTGTTTTGTGTCCGGGTGTCAGCCCAGCTGGCACCCGGACACAAAACACTGAGTGCCAATGCCGGCACTTCATTTTTTTGACAGATTCAGTTGCCTGGGGTCCCCAGCCAGCGCGCGGGACTTCAACCAGCCGCATCTGCCTGAAGCCGTGGGCGTCTAAACAGGCACAGGGTGGCCTCCACATCTCCTCCTCCTCCGGCTCCTTCCTGATAGCACGCTGCCCGCCTTTGGACCCCAGCACTTCTCGCCCACCTCCTGAAAGCCAACCTAGCCCACCTGAGAGCCGGCAAAGCCCACCTGAGACCCCACACAGCCATCTGAGAGCCTGCATAGCCCACCTGAGAATCTGCACAGCCCTGGAAAGAGCCCGCACTGGCCACCTTAGACCCTGGAGACATAAGGGCGCCACCCCAGATCAACACAGAGTATGTAGCTTCATATTATTTTGTATTGCTGTATCATGTATTTCTGGGATTTGTAGTCCTCCTCCTTACTCCCTCCCATGTCTCTCCTCTATATTCTCAAAACCAGAAATTGCCGCACACAGGGCTCGAGTGCAACACTATCCAGCTGCTGTGGCTGGAGAAGAAGCTGTTGCTTCATTAGCCTCTGTGAGGTTCATAGGTGACATTAGGGGTTCAATAGACCAGGTGTGGACAAACTCTGGCTCTCCAGCTGTGGTAAGACTACAAATTCCATCATGGATATGCCTCTGGGAGTCATGTATGTGGCTGTCAGAGTCTTGCAATGCCTCATGGGACTTGTAATTGTACCACAGCTGCAGGGCCAGAGTTTCCTCACTCGTTCAATAGACCCCCCAATATTTCCATAAAGAGGACCTGTCACTTCCGTTATGCGATCACATAGGGGGGTTGTTAGTTTTAGTTCAAAAAATGTAAGTGACTTATAAAAAAACACCCACAAAAAAATAGAAAATTGTAAAGCCCTCTATCCCCACGTACTCGCACATAGAAAGCAAACATGCATCAGGCGCACCAACGTCAGGTGAAATAACGAACGCTAGAGTGAAAGCAATCATTCGAGAGCCATCACTCACTGGTAGCCATAATTTGTAAAGTGAAGGCTTTTAAAGCATCACCTATGGGCAATTTTGAGTACCGTTGTTTGAAATTTTACGCAATCTTAAGGCTTGACATGTTTAGTATCTATTTACCCAATGCAATCTAATTTTTTATATTTTAAAATTGGGTATTATATTCTCTGCACTAAAATTCATTTTACTGTATTTTTTCCTAAAAATATCGATTTGATATACATTTGTACAAATATCATGCTACACAGAGGATTCCAAAATAAAGACCTGTCCCTCCAAATAAGGAGATGGGAGGAGCTGTGCACGTTCGCTGTGTTCCACATACAGATCTTACTTATTTGGAAAGCAGGCCTATTTCCTGGGTGAAGTGCCATGAGGCGCCAGCAGGTGGCGCTGTAGAAGACAACCTCGTGTTCCGTCACTAAAAGGCGCTCTGGCTCCTTAGTGAAAACAGCATTCCTCCGACGTCACTTCCTTTCACGTTTTCCGCTGCGCCACAACAGTCGGGCTGCGGCGTGAGCCGCCGACATGCGTATCGAGAAGTGTTATTTCTGCTCGGCGCCCATCTACCCGGGCCACGGCATGATGTTTGTTAGGAATGACTGTAAGGTAAGAGCTCGGCTGGGCGCCTGACTTCTCACCGGGAGAGGGGCAGAGTGTGAGCTGCGGTGACGTCATATTATGTGCCTGGAAGAAAAAGCGTGCTCATGTCTGACTGCTATTGAATGTGTGCTGGTGATAGCTTGAGGAATCGGGTTACCAACTTACCTATGCGTTTGAGAAACAGAGGAATACTTACCTTAAGGCTGAACTCCAGTATATACAAATATTGTCTAAATACAGGAGTCGTGTGTATTCTTCCTTGAGGCTTGGTGGGCTTTGTCTATTTCCTCTATCTGTGCATTAATTATTCCTGTAATAAAGACCAGTCACTGCTGCACTCTCCTTGTGCAAGCTAACTGGTCTTGTCTCCACCCCCTTGTGTCGTTTTCTGCAGATAGCCTGTAGTGGGTGGAGTCTGCTGCCCCCTCCTACACATTCTCTCTGCTCAGGCTATGCATAGCACAGTGATGTTGACACAGCTACTTTTACAAGGCAATGTCATTAAAGGAGAACTATAGGATTAGTGACATACACTCATCCCCATTAGAGCTGCAGCTAACTATTATTTTCAAAATCGATTAGTTAGCCGATTATTAGGTTCAGTTAATCGGATAAACAATAAAATAAAGTTTAAAAAATGGCTCCAGTGATAGGACTACTAGTTAGTATTGAGGTTGTAGTCCATCACAAAGACCTGTCTATCTTACTACATCTCCCCGCGTCCCTTGCTTATCGTGGATGTGGATGGGCAGGAAATGTGAGGCGGGGAGGAGGTGCGGCGTGTGGAGCGTGGATGTGAGCGGGTCTGGCAGCGGCGAGCGTGAGGTGGGGAGGAGGTGCGGCGCACAGCGTGTGGAGCTGTGAACAGGGCCAACTGATCGGAAGCCGATTAATCGATTATTGAAAAAGTTGTCAACTTTTTCAATAAATCGATTATGTCGATTTAGTTGTTGCAGCCCTAATCCCCATAGCTAGAGACAACATGTGACACTGAAGTTGCCACACTGGCTCTAAAGATTGGGAACTGAGCGATAACAAAGCACTGATCACTCAGCTCACGATCTCCCTGCTGAAAGCAGTGACTGTCAGTCATCATTCCCCTCTCTGTTCCTCCACCGCTGACTGCAGGGACAGACACAACTGGCTCTAGAGAGTGGTGAAGTGGTGGTCGTGTGACCTCTATAGCGCACGCTCATCATCCTCATCCAAGCGGGGACTGAGAGAAGCTAGTGTAGATGTAAGCAAATACTTTACCATAAAATCAAGGAGGGTGTAATGCTATTTTATGTTATGCTCTGTGAATGGGAACATAACAAATATATAAAGTAGATGTTATTCTCCTTTTGGCTGCAAAAATATTACTCTCTGATAGCACAGCCGGGTTTGTGACCTGACTTTTTTTAAACTGCAAAAAAGCAATACAACTTGGTCACCAACCTGCCCCCAGAATGCCATAAAAAAAAAAAAGGAAGAGCAGCCTGAAGAGATTACCACTCTCCTGTCTCCCCATATGTGCATGTTCCTTTTCAGTACATGATTGGCTTTACTCCCGATAAGGTCCCTATGGGCAGAAATGCCAATTCTTTTTTTGCCAATGTATTGTCTAGTACTATACTTCAGAAAAACAGAAGCTTGTCCCAGAACAATGACAAACTGATACTGATAGGGTGCATAAATGCTCGCCAGTCGGTTAGAGCGGTCTCCTGGGTTCCACCCGGCCTCTGATTACCTGATATTTTCCATTCTGGGGAGGTGTACCATTGGTTTTATCTGAGCAGCCTGTCGGTGCTTTTGCCTCACATGCAACCTACCCATGTCCAGATCCGGAATACATTGGTAACTCGGTTCACGAACGCTTCCGTTCACAAACAATTTTGTTAGCGAACAGGAAGTTCGGCAAAACTTTGCTTCCATTTGCGAACTCCACATCAGGTGACGAACACAATCGCAGCCATCTTCCCTGCTCTGACACATGGTTGTGGCTTCCTCTAGTTGAGATTGCGGTCTGATCACAGTTTGATTCGGTTCGCGACCAGAATCGTGGAACCGAGGCACCACTGTATTGCAGTGGTTTTGTGGAAATTGATGGGAGGCAACTCCAACTGGTAGGTGAATATTTGGGTCCTCTTATGTTGTATTTAAGTTTATTTTAGGTCTGCTTTAATTAGAAACTCTGGAGGCACAGATTTATTGGCGTAATATAAGACCTTTGTTTCCTCCCTCACAATGGCAGAATGACATTAGTAATCTTTTATATGTAATTAGATTGATAGTGCACAGGAGCTTTCATATTAAAGCCCCGCACCCCTCCCTGCAACTTCATTGAAAAAACGAAAACATGCTTAATTTCTGGTGTTTCCCAAAGTGGTGAGTTGACAAACTTGGTCCTCTTCTTCAACTCTATGCGGTGGGCGGTCTTCCATACTGAATAGTGCTCACTCTGAGCTCTGTCCTAGGCAGCGTTACTCTATGGGCCTAGACTGTGTGATGATACTAGTCCAGGGGGCTATTGACAGACTGGGCTTGCAGGCATGGGTTGGCTAACACTGGCAAGTACTGCAGCTTGAAGAACAAAAGTACTGCATTTCATTTTAAACCCAAAAATATTCAAAAACCTCATCTTGTCACATCAATGCATCTGTATTCTTTCACTTTGCAGGTATTTAGATTCTGCCGGTCAAAATGCCACAAAAACTTCAAGAAGAAGCGAAATCCCAGAAAGATCAGGTGGACAAAAGCCTTCAGAAAGGCAGCTGGTAAAGAGTTGACAGTGGTAAGTTGTAATCTCTGAACTAATTAATATTTACCAGTCAGTAGAAAGTAAGAAACCCGGTTAAATATAATGAGGGGAATGTATCAAAACTGGAGTAGTTGCCCATAGCAACCAATCGGCTTTTGTCTGTTTTATAACTTGATTTTTTATTAACATTTTTCATGACAAAAATAGATACTCAAGCAAAATCTTACAGAGACAATATGTTCATAGCAGGCAATGGAATGTACAATGAAAAGTGATCATTAATTATCACTCGGATACACAAGGAAGGATGTATAGAAATGTCTACGCAATATTAAGGCAATAACAGCCTCATGGTCTCAAAGTATTCAAACATATATATCTTAAAAAGAAGAACCAAACCATTAAAGTGACATTAAAGTCAAAAGTTGTTTTTTTTTAATCGTTTTGCATATATCTAATGCATGCTAGCAGTAGGTATATGCAAAAACCGCTGAGGGTTTAATAACCCTTTAAGAAGGATGAATATGAAACAAGTTGTTAAAGGAAGAGGGAGGAAAGAAAGAGAAGGAGAAAAGTCCGTAACCTCTCATCGTGGAGGATGAAATCACCTGGTTAACTATGCCATTATATGCAACAGGAGGTTCATGCAGGTGAATGTAAAGCTCACCAAGGGGACCATACCTTTTCAAAGTTAGACGTAGAGTTATTCAACTGAGCAGCGAGGTATTCCATATTTTGTATATCAAAAATCCTCCAAAGTAGATAGTTTGAAGGAGAAACAGGTTGCCGCCATTTCAATGCTATCGGGCAACTTGCCACTGTGAGGATATGATTAGTTTCCAGCGTGCCTTGGGTACATGTGGCATGAGAAGGTCTAAGAGAAGATGAAGAGGATCATCAGGTACAGTCAAGTTGAGAAGATGCCCGATCAAGGACATAACATGTTCCCAAAAGGGCCATAACTTAGGGCATTGCCAATAGATGTGCAATAAACTACTTGTGTTTATGATATACCTCCAGCACCCGTCTTTCATTTTCAAAACTTAACTAAAAAAACTGAAAAGAACAAACAAAAAGAGAAGCTGATTGGTTGCCATGGGCAACTGCACCACATTCTGTCTGCTCCTGTTTTGATAAATCTCCCCCTGTGGGTATATAAAGTAAGTTTTTCAGATCTATCTAGTTTCTCTTTCTGCTGATAGACCAACATTCCAAGTGATTAATATATTGTAAGTTTTTGCAGCTAATGTGAAATCAGGGACATTAATGTGAGGAGACTGCTGTAACTTCTTGTGAAAAGGTGAACTTACCCCTCAAGGTGTACCTGTCTTGGGCGAAATTTAAAAGCTGCCATTGCTGACCCCTTTTGCTATTAAATGCAAGCTGCCCTGGTATTTTTGCTTATCGTCTGGCTTCAACAGTATATGAGCCACAGGACAACACAGGTCTAACATGAAGACCTGGTCAGCTGTTGCAGCCTCCATATTTCTCCCATGATAAATGTTCTTTAACAATCATTGCTATTTCATACCAATGTAGACTTGAAAAGTAATGTTTTTATTGTGCCAGTTTCTATAATGCATAATATGGTATCAGGAGTTGTTTTATATAAATGTTTCTTTTGTAGGACAATTCATTTGAATTTGAAAAAAGAAGAAGCGAACCTGTCAAGTACCAGAGGGAGTTGTGGAGCAAGACTGGTAATTTTGTTTTACATTTTTTTTTTTTTTTTTTTTTT